ACTGAGGCGAATGGGAAGAATTTGACATTTTATGGAAGACCAGGTTCAGTGGCTGCCATTCTCTTCAGACTTAGGTTACTAAATAGCTTTCTGAATAAGGAGCCTTTTCTGCACCATTCGTTTGTGAGGAGTCCTTGCTGTAATTGGTGTTTGGGCTGTTGAGATCTGACACTTGAGAACTGAGGCAGCAGAATGCCTTTGATGGTTGTGTGACCTTTTTTGCAAAAAGATCATACAGTTGAGCAAATTGTATATGCATGGAGCCGCGCATCTTTATTTTCTCCCGAGGTTACTGGAGACTTTGCCACCAGCTAAATATAGACCTTTTCATGAGGCATCTACCAAAAATAAGAAGCTCAATAATTTTAAAATGATCATTGTATATACCTTACCAAAGTATATTATTTTCTGTGAACACAGGTATTATGGGCTCCAAGGAGACTGTGCACTTTATAAATGTATGATTGAGTGAGCAAGAAGGCACCTTCCCTTCACTTGCATAAAAGGGAGCCTGTGTGTCCTATTACCTGTGTGAGTGGTCTTCATAATGAGAAACAGTTGAACAAAAGAAGGGTTGTTGTTTGTCTTTATCAGTTAGGCACTGATAAGGTTCAGGAGTCTCTTTGACTTCAGAAAATTAGTTGACTTTACTAGTCAGGGTTCTCCAGAGAAACAGAAGTGATAGGATGGATCGATCCCTCGTCTGTCTACCTATCTATCATATATCTGTGTATCTGTGTATCCATCGATCCATCCATCTATCCAGCTATCCGAAGAATGTTCTGAGCAATTGGCTTGAGTGATTTCAGAGCTGGGAAGTCCAGCAGTCCTCTGTGTGCAAGCTGAAGAACCCTAGAAAGCCGATGTGTAACTCAGTTTGTCTCTGAAGGCCTGATGACAGGGCAGCTGGTGAGATGCGATGAACGTTCCTAACTCAAGAGGCAGGGAGAATTCTTCTCCATTGACACATTTGTAGATAGGGATCCCCACCACCACTGGGAAGTCCACTGACTCCAGTGCTAATCTCCTGCAGAAACACTATCAGGGATACACCCAGAGAGCAGGTGTAATTGGGCCATAAGATTAGCCATCACTAGTGATCACATAGGGTTATCGTGTCCTCACATTCCCTGTCGTCATGCTGTTAGGATCACTTGTGCCAACTGTCAACATGCTTGTATTTTTGCACTTAGAAAACTATCAGTGTTACTTGTGTCATCTCCAGTAGGCTAGTTGCTCCTGAGTAATCCAACATCATCGTCATTAATAGTTACCAGTTAATGATTGCTGAAGAAGAACCTGGTTTTTACATGCTTTGTTACTGGAACTCTGTCTATGGTTGGCTTCCTTCACCCAACCCAGTACTGCTCCCCAAAATATATCTGGTTCCACTCCTAGTGAACTGCACTCCCAAAGGTGTTTTTTTTTTCTTATTTTTTTATAAGAATGGTGAAAAGGGGTGCAGGCATGAGAAAGTGTGATTAAAAGGTGACTTAAATGACGAATTTCCTTTCAAGACCAACCAGAGGTGACCCAATTTCTTTATTGCTTTGAGAGCCTTCAGTTGACCACTCACATGGAATGGTTATTATATTTTATTATATATATATATTTTATTGAGCACCTTAACACTAAGTAACACTATGCACGTTGCCTCTTAACACTATGTAAGATTTAGGAATATAGGTTCCCCCTCTTTCAGATGTGAGTGCCAGGTACAGTTAAAGAACTCAGAAGAAAAATGAGGTTCTATTACTGAACCATTTGCCAAATGGAATCTTTATTTTTTTTTTTTTAAGATTTATTTATTTATACAAGCACTGGGTACAGTCAGAAGCACGGGCGGGTAAGAGGATTCACCAGAGCCAGATAGGAGAACAGAAGAGGCAGACTGATGAAGAAATACACTGCTGAGGGGAGCAGCGGGCGGCAGGAGAGGTCTGCCCGCCATGTGGGACCCTCGCCCAGCAGCTGGGGATCGAACTGGCGCTGCAGAGGCTGCGGGCAGCTTCACAGCCCAGCACTCAGCTGCTGCACCACCAGGGAGGCCCCAAATGGAATCTTTAAACCAGTGAGCTTTGTGTGTTGTTTGTTGTTGTTGTTGGCTTGTTTTTTTGTTTGTTTGTTTGTTTGCATTTCGTCTCTGGTTAATTTGACACAAACTGAAGCTCTCCACGCTAGCAGTGTTAAGGTATATTCAAATCAAGCACTGAAATATCTTGAGTGTTTGTGTGAAAACTCGCAGGTCCGTGCTCTTCTGTGGTGGAATCAGTGGTGTCGCTGGCTTAGGTGGTGGCCTAGTTCTAGGGGTTTTGAGTTGGATCATTCAGCCATAGTCTCTTCAGCACCAAATTCAAGGGAATGTTACATTATCGCCTGAATAAGAGCAGGGTCGGAAATCTCCCTTTGCAAAGTCTAACAAACCAAACCATCAACTGAAAGGAGAAGCTGTGACTCCTGAATTGTGTAGACTGACCTTCTCTCGGGACTGCCATGCACTGTATTCCTCGCTGTGAGTAAAAATAGTGAATGTTTCCTTACAAAATGGTCAGAATTACAGGCAACGTGTTTTATTTAAATCACCGCCGCGGGCTGAGTCTCTCGTGAGGGCCAGTGGAGCGGTGACCGGCGCGTTTCACGGGGCGTCTCACTTCCTCAGGGCTTGTCCATCGTTGATTCTGGGCTTCCCCGCCCTCTGTCCCTCGCCACCAGGTTCTGAAGGGAGGCACTTGCCCGACCCCCCTGGGCCAGCCGGGGAGGCTGAATTGCAGAGAAAGAGCTGATCTGTGGGTGGAGAGTTGGAGACTCAGGGTGCAGGGAGCAGCCACCTCTGCTGTCGCCCTCCTGCAGCCTCCCCTCCAGGCTTTGTGGAAGGAAGCAAGGGAAACTTCCTGTTGCTCCCATAATGAAGCCCTGAGGGGGGGAAAAAAATCTGTTCTTTGTGCTCGCAGGTGTGCGAGGGAGACAGCTGTGATCTGCCTTCAGTTAAAAAGATGGACTTACTCCCACCTCCACACTCGCGACACCCCCGGGTGACCGCCCCGTCTCTGGCGTTGGCGGCTGTTGTAGACAGAGAAGCCTTTTGTGTAAACTCACAGCCTCCTCTCTCCCCTCCGCCGATGGAATGGGCTTAACAGAATCTATATGTTCTTGTCCGTTTGTCTTGGGAAAAGAGGCCTAGTTTGGAGTGTGAAGACAGACGTGCACGGAGAGTGTAGACGTGGCCGGGGTGCGTAAGGAGGGCGTGAAGGTCAAGGCGCGCAGGAGAATGAGCAGGTCCCCCAGGTGTGAGGGAAGAGCACAGGTCACTCTGGAAGATTGTGTTACTCTGACCTTCTCACTTCACCCAAGGTGGCGGGAGAGCCGAGGAGCGGCGTGCAGGGTGTTCCTCAGGCAGCGCGGGAGGGAGTCAAGGGACCGGGAGGCAGGAGAGTGACCCTGGCTCAGGTGGGGCTGCTTCTCGACCTGAAGTTCAAGCCTCTTCCCATGCGGTGATGCAGCCCCCTCTGGCGAAAGCAGTGCACGTGCTGGCAGGGGCAGGGCCAAGGGGTGGACAGTAGGGGTCTTGGGCATTCTGACGCCCCTGGGGCCCCAGCAGGCAGTTAGAGGAGCAGCATCGCACAGCGCTAGTCAGTCTCAGGAGCCGACGCCGTGGCCTCAGCCAGAGCTGCTTCCTGGGACTGGGTCTCCGTGTCCTCGGACTTCACTGGAGAATCAGAAAGTCTCTTTCCTCCTTCTTGCTAAATTCTCCCAGTTTTTAAATGGGGTCACAAATTTGGTGGTTTTTATTTTTTTTTTAATAATAAATTTTATTGTTATATTCCCCATACAACTGCAGCCCCCCCATTCTGACCCCAATCCCTCCCCTCCCACCCCCGCCCCCCTAAAAGTGTCTCTGGTTCATAGTTTTTTGTTGATTTTGATTTTCACTTTCTTATAGTTACTCGTTTTCCTGGGCCCTTATTTAGGTTTTCTAGATTCCTGCTATGAGTGAGACCATCCGGTATTTTTCTTTTTCTGTTTGGCTTATTTCGCTGAGCATGATAATCCTCAGTAAGCAACCCAGCTGGAATGCACCTGACACCTGGGGCGGACGGGCTTCCTCCTGCTGGGAGGCGGCGAAGCTTCACACCAGGACTTGCCGACCCTGGTGGTGGCAGATGCGCCGGTGTAAAGGGCTTGAGGTTCCCGCCTGGCCACTCCTAAGCGCTCACATTAACCGCCCGGCACAGCCATCACGGGGCAAAGGTCGGCCCCGCCTGAGACGCCGCGTGGCCGGGAGCCGGGGCAAAGGGGGGAAATGGCCTGACAGCGAACTTGCTGTAATGACCCGGTATTCCTGGGCCTGGGGGTGCTGGAGGGCACGCGGCCCTTCTTTGGGTGGAAAGGGTGCCCTCGCAGAGCCGTCTGCTGCAAGCGGGGAGCTTCGCAGGAGCAGCAGGAGCCACAGAGGAGCGCGGCTGAAGACGAGCCAGGTGGAGCTGAGACATGGCGGGTGTTTGCCGGTTGATGATGAAACCACTAGCGTGTTATATGAGCAACAAATGTCCCTCCCCAAACCAAAACAGGTTTCCCCGGAGGCAGGCCCAGGTCTGCGCGCCAGGGACACCAGGCAGGTGTGCTCGGCGCCCGGCTCCGAGTCCGGCTGGTCTCCGGGTGGCCCAGGTGCGGCCGAGCAGGACGGGCCCTGGGCGGACGGTGGGGCTGGGCCCGAACCAGCGAACCAGCGTTGCTCCCGTGGCCGGGGAGAGGCACCTCCTGGTAGCGCTCGCGTTTCTGTACCTGGAACCTGGTGCTTGGGTTCCGGTCCCTAAGGTGGTCCTGATCCAGTGCTCTCGTGATCCCGCGCAGCCCTGGAGCCCCAGCCCACGAGGCCGGGGGGCGCCTCCCTAAACACCTGTGCCTGGAGCGAGACCGGAGGGGCAGGGGGGCCCGTGCCCGAGCCTTAGCGCCGCTTGGATGAACACCCTCCCCCGCCCCGATTTCCTCTCGTCCCTCAGGCTGCTGTGGTGCCGTCTGCCCAGACCCTAAAAATCACGGACTTCGGCTTCAGCGACTTCGAACTCTCTGACCTGGAGACGGCCCTGTGCACCATCCGCATGTTCACGGACCTCAACCTGGTGCAGAACTTCCAGATGAAACACGAGGTAGGGACGCGGCCTTCGGGAAAGCGCGTGTGTGCGCGCGTGTGCAGGCGTGACCCATGCACTGGGGTGACCGTGTGTGTGTGAGCGAGACTTGGGGATGCTAATGTGCCGTAGGGATTCTGCCATTTCCCCGATGAAGAGACCGTCACCTCCTGTCTACCCAGGGTTTTTACCCCCAGCCGTCCCCGAGGCGCCTCGTGCCCTGTCTCCCTCCCGGCGCCCTCTTGGCCTCAGAAAGCTGGCTTCCTTTCCTAGCAGGAGCTCGTTGTTCCACGTATGTTGCTTGGCCACACCCTCCACTGGCGAACCACCTGGTCCTAGGCCTTGGCAGCGCGCTGGCTGTGCTGCTCATCATTCCCTCACGCTCCTTCCGTTTCCCCCTGAGGGGCAGCATTTCGTCTTTCCTCGTGACTGAACACGTTCCATCGTGTGGGGGACCAGGCTTCCTGACCCCACCCTCTGTCGCGGGCCACTTAGGTAGTTTCCAAGATTTGGAAAGAAAGATTAGCATCATGCAGAGCACTTTGCAGGGGTTCCTAGCCTGTAGTAAGCATCGGATCAAAGAGGAGGGGAGAGGACCCCTAAAACAGAGCAGGGTGTGCAAAGGGGCACAGGAGGGGCAGGAGATGGGGGTGGGGAACACTGGGTGGAGGGATGAGCAGCGACAGGAGAAGCAGCTATCGAGGAAGGGGCGTCTGTTTTGCTAGTGCGTAGCTCTTATTTCCTTGGGCAATTAATCTCTCAGGTTTTCGGTGACCTAATCTGCTAAATGGGGATAATGGTATGACCTTCCCTTGTGGGAGTCTTGTGAGAGTCGCACATGCATCGGTGTGTGGTTGTGTCTAAGCATGTGTGTGTGTGTGTGTGTGTGTGATACTCTGCTTAACACCTGGGTGTAGGGTGCATGACAGGTCTCCCTTCTTAGGTCAAATTCAACAGGGTTATATCACCCCATCAGAGCCTCCCTGTTGGCACCAGGGGTTAAAGGCTCAGTGCTGTCCAGCTATCACCAATCACAGCTGCCTGAGTTCAATCCCCAGCCCAGGAGCTACCCACATGGTGCAGCAGACCTCTCCTGTCTCACCCGCTGCTCCCCTCCGCAGTATATTTTGTCAGTCTGCCTGTTCTGTTCCCTGCTCTGTCTCTGGTGAATCCTCTCACCACCCCCCCACCTCTGGCCTACATCCCAGTTCTTGTATGCATAAATAAATAAAAATCTTCTAAAAAAATCACCCCGTCAGATTTGGCTTTTATAGGTTAGAGGGCTCACCTTTTTTTCCCATTCATTTTTTTTCTGTCCTGCATCACTGTAGTCCCCATAATTCTCCTGCCACTATATCACCTGTGAACCACCACCATGCTACCCTGCATTGTTCCCCCCCTGTGTCGACACAGCCCCCCCTCTTTGCTGCACGCCTCGGTTCTATGGTCCGCTCACTAGCTTTGACTTTTCCTTGACCTTTTGTTTGGTTTCTCCATCTTCCACATATAAGTGAGACCATCCGGTATTTATCTTTTTCCTTCTGACTATTTTTGGCCAGCATAATCTATAGGGCTCACTTCTAAAAAGCCTTCTCTGTTAATGGAATGAAAACGCCATTTATTGCAGGAATCAGAAGGTCTCTGTGAATCTCAGTTCTACCTCTTGCTGGTCACGGGACCGCGCACATCTGGACAGAGTCTCAGAATCCTTCCTTTCTGTCCCTGAGCTCGCGCATGTTGGAAGCGAGGCGTGATTCTGTTGAGAAGGCCTGGCCGGAACCCAGGCTGTGATCTTTGTTCTGATGATTGGCTCACAGCTAGCACTGAAGTGTCAGGTGTGAAGATAGTTGCTCGGTGTTTCTTTACCCATCTTTATTCTTACCTTTTCTTGACTGTTATCCAGTGCATGGTATTTCTCCTCCACGTCTGATTCATCTCCCTGCCTTTTCGTTGGAGTAACTGTTCCTCTGATTCTGGAGCACATCACCCTGAGCATCCTGGTCCTGGCTGGCCTTCCTGCCTTGCGGACCCTTGTCAATTTCGGCTAGGGCCAGTATGATTTTAGGATGAGGAAATTGAAATGTTATTGATCGTGAGGACGTTAGCTTCCTGCAGCTGCCTTCATGACGGATATCTCCCACTGAAAGGTCACTTCCCTGTGTCTCTGTGGCGTCCGCACCTGGAGAGACACTGCCGTGACCTCTGCAGGCGTCGCTCGTGCTGACTCAGACTCTTAACCTGCCGCGAGCCGCCCGCCGGAGCGGTGCTGATTGGCGCCGGCTGCCGCTGGCCTGCTGGGACTCTCCCGGCCACGTCGTCTGAGCCCTCGACGGCCATGGCGTGTTCTCTCCCTCAGCAGCGCCTGGTGTCTCCGTTCCTGGGAGAGTCCTCGTGTTCATGTCACACCACTGGGACAGCTGCTGGCAGTTCACACGTTGTGCTGTCAGTCCCGTGTTGATTTATTTGTTGGCTTTATTCGTGCACTTCTGGTATTTTCCCCACTGCGAGGCATTCTCAAGGGCCAGGGCTGAGCTGTGTCTTCTGCGTCCTCTCTTGCTCCCAGAGCATCTTGAGTGGCTGCCACTCGGGGCGTAGCAGGCCTGGTGATGGCCGAAGGCGGATGGGTCAGTCCCTTCTGGTTCTCTCCGGAGGTAGCAGGGATTCTCTTTGGTTTGATCACGCCTGTGTGGCTACAAGCATCAAGAGTAAGGGAGAGCAGAAAGGACTGTCGGGAACAAAATCAGTCATGACCTTGAAAGTTACTTTGTTTTCTGTCTTGTCTCCTTGTACACACTTCCCCTCTGATCCTGCCCCTGTGTGATTCCCACTGCATGTGCTAGAGCAGGGAAGGACTGGATCGCAGATCTGAGGACTGGATCGCAGATCTGACCCTGCCAGCCCTTAGCGGATGGGGCCATAGTTTCCTATAGACCGTTGCTAACATTGTGATGACCGAATCCAGGTTGCATTTAAATCGGGTTACGAACCACCGTATCTACCGGTTTAGTCAACACCAGTAGGTCTGTCTTAATAGCCACACAACAGACTAGTCCATCTGAGTAAGGTTTCAGTCATTTTGGCCATTTTTCACACATATAATTTACGTGCGTATTTAACTTTGTCAACAAATTGAGTGCTAGATAGATCCACAGGTTACATTTCTGGATTTTGCTGCTTATTTTCCTTGATTTCTTTAACCAGTCACCAGCAATTTCCTACCACGCTTGGCGATACCGTTTCTATGTGTATCTTAATATTCTCCCAACACCGATAACAAGAGCTGGGTAGGATGGGGAGAAAGAGCCCCAACCTGAAGAGGAAGGGGTGAAGCTGTCTGGGAAGGGCGGTGTTGGAAAGGGACGGTGTAATTAAGACACTTCAACTAAATGCAAGATGCAGTAAGAAAAAGCATCACATCAATTAGAACAGACACATTGGAAGATACTGAAAATTGATTACAAAAAAATACAAGATTAAATCTAAAAAAAAAAATAATATCATTAAGCGTTGTTCTTCCTGGCCCGTTTTTCTCAGAAAAGGTCAAAGTGCACGAAACCCAGTGTAGTCGTGAGACACAGGGCAAGCTAGGGTTATTAGGCAGTTTTAGGGACAGGGCAGGAGGGGACCTCTGAAGAATTTAGGGAGGCTTCAGAGATAAGGACAACCAAGGGAATGTAACCAATTCCACTGGGAAAAACAAACATCCTAGGACCATTGTTAATAATAGGGGAAAAGCAAACATCCTAGGACCAGGACAATATTGTTAAGGATGGTCCTGGTTTTCTTCAGGGGATAAGAGAAAGTGTAGAGATGCTCACCTGGAGGACTAGGCCATAAAGGGAAAGCGATAAGCATAACAAATGGGGAAAGAGAAAGCTGTGAGATAAGGAATGTGAAATTCCCCCACTTCATACCCTCTGGGAGTTAGCCAATCAGGAAGAGAGACTGAAATTTTAACATAATGAGAGAGAGAAAGTATATATTCCTAAAGTAATATCCCGTACCAGCTCATCTCGGCCCCTCCCAGGTACCTTATACCTCGAAGTCTTTCTTCTTTGTCTCTTTTCTTCCTAAATAAAACTCTTCTTTCAAAGACAAGATTTGTCTCTCTCTACTTACTTACTCCAAAAGTCTGTGAATTCCTTTCTACGGTTTCGCGAGAAAAGAACTCGTGGTAAAACGTAACAGTTGTTACACACGCCGGCATCATTTGCACTGAACCTCGTTGAGCCTCAGATAGACACGTTTCCCTGAGAATACGGTGACTCCCCAAGGCACATATAGGCTCGTAGTTGTCACAGGGCCCTGAGAACTGAGTCATAGATCGGGAATAAAAGAAAAGAAAAAAAGGAAGGATGTAAAATCTGATTTTCTACCAAATCTACTAGCATTTTCCACCAACGAGGAAGCAGCCTTGTTTTGGGCCTACTTCTGCAGCTTGTCAGCCTGTGCTGAGTTCTGTGAAAGCCACATTTTTTCCAGGGTACTTTTCCCAACCCCCTAGGGCAACACTCCGTGCGTTTGAAGCATCCCCAGTGATATGCAGAGAGAAGCACATATTTATTTTTACATCCCCCAAAGCATAGTAAATCATTCAGAATTGAAGAGGCAGTTTCCAATCTAACACAAACACGAAATAACCAGAAGTCCCTCGGGGATTTGATTTGAATGCACCACTTAAACATCAGATTAAGCCCAGTTTGTGAGATTTTTCTGAACACTGTCTCCCTCCCCACCCCGCATTTTTCAAAATGTTTTTTCCTATGAACCCCCAGGGTTTTATTTTGCATGCATTTGTGACTCTATCTCTGTAGCTATCTCTTGGTAAGCAAGCGGCAACTCCCCTAACATTTCAGCAGAGTTTAAAAGAGATAGAAATCGCGATGACTGACAGAGGGCTTGGAGCTCCAGTTTGTCCTGGGGTTGTGTGCAGCACCCCTCAGCCTCTGTCCACCTCCAGCCTCACCGAGTCTGGTTCCTGACACACACACAGGGCAGGGTGGACAGGCTGAGCGGGGCTGCCGCAGGGCCCTCTGAAGGTGAAACACTCCCCTGTCTATCTGCACACTCCTAACTGGGGACAAGTACTGTCTTCTTACAAGCTAGCCAGGGCCCTACCTGGCCAATATACTTGAGTAGCCACATCCCAAGTCTAGCTCTGCCAGCGCGGGGCTTACCTGGCAGGCCTGGGCCCTGCTCTCAGTGATCAGCCTGTCGACTGTGAAACCCTCAGGAGGGCCTCCCTCACGGCGGGAGGATGGAGCAGGTGCCCTGGGCCTGGCCTGACACTAGGCGAAGGTGCAGGGAGCTTCAGCCATGATTGTCAGTCCTGCTTTCTTTTCCAAAGGTTCTTTGCAGGTGGATTTTAAGCGTGAAGAAGAATTACCGGAAGAATGTCGCCTATCACAACTGGAGACACGCCTTTAACACAGCCCAATGCATGTTTGCTGCCCTGAAAGCAGGCAAGATCCAGGTACTTGTTAGAGCCATTTACATTTTTATAAACTTTTGTTGCTTTTGGTAGTCAATTTTACAGCATGTTCTGTCAGTTGTTTTTTTTTTTTTTTTGATGTCCACTTATGATAAACAATAACATTTAGTGACACTTGCAAAATACATTCCGTTTTCTTAACTAAAGAAAACTGGAATGCCCAAATGCAAAATTGCTGTTTTCTTTCATATATAGTGTGTCTGGCACATTAAAAAAATCTTTAACCTCATGCTTAGCCTTTGGGCAAGAGACTCTTTGTCTTTGAGAAAAACCCTGCAGTGTAAGAAAAGTTACCAAATTCCCTATGTCCACATTCACCCTGTTTCCAAGAAGAATTTCACAAAAGCACCACGTTCTGGAGTTGGCCTCCTGGGTGCGTTCAGGATTCTCTCTCAGTCTCACTGTCTCACTCAGTTGAGTTTACCAGCAGTGTTTCGTGGGAAGGGGAGTGTCTCATACAGGCTGATCGGGGTGCGCTCTTCACAAGAAGACCCCATGCTCAAGTAATTTCACCCTTTCCAGGTCAGTGTCACTCGTAGCTCTGTCCTTCCACGCTAACTTCCGTGGGACTCGACTGGTTTGAGTGAGTGTTTCCAGGCGTCCATCTAAAACTCGTGATAATTCAGAGCTCCCATGCATTTTCCTTAAATTATAAAAACGTTAACTCTCTGTGCTTGCTTTCATGGGGTGCATATGGAACTGGCTAGCTCTAAAGGAAGATAATGCTTCCCAGAAGTCCTAGCAAACATATATAAGAAATAGGGTGGGGCCTCCCCGGTGGCGCAGCGGTTGAGCGCTGGGTTGCGAAGCTGCCTGCGGACTTTGCGGCGCCGGTTCGATCCCCGGCTGCTCCACGGCCACTGGAGGAGGGTCCCACATGGCGCGCAGACCTCTCCTGCCGCCCGCTGCTCCCCTCAGCAGTGTACTTCGATCCTTCTGCCTGCTCTGCTCCCCGCTCTGGCTCTGGTGAATTCTCTCACCCTCCCGCGCTTCTGACTGTACCCAATGCATGTACAAAACAAACAAATGAATACATAAATAAATAAATAAAAATACATGCCTCTCTTAAAAAAAAAAAAAAAAAGAAATAGGGTGAACTTAATTTGCAGGATGCTAAGGTGATAAGGATTATACCCCTGGAGAATAGCCTTGCTTTTTGTGAATTAAAAAACACCAACTTATGATTTTTATGCATGCTGGGAACTTAGTATTGAGAGTGTTGACCGTTCCAGCAGAACTGAAGAGGTGATAGTTTCTGTTTTCTCCTAATGAAGGAAATGTTAGTATAGACAGTACAAATGGCAACTATTCAGAAATCACCAGTACTTAGCTTTGGAATCTAGCATGCAACTTTTTTAAAGCCCAAATTCCCCTGTTCTTCATCTTTTCATTCTTTATCATCTGGCTTGATACATGCCTTGGTGTGTTCCGCGGGGATACAGGAAGCAGTGGCCGACGGTGGGGGCTGCAGAAGCTGCAGTGAAGTAAAAAGAGAGCAGGGAACTTGATTGTTTCACATGTAACGTCCTTCATGAAGGAGTCATGATAATGAGCTTAAGTACCCAGCTACTCCTGGGAGGAGCATTGCCGCTTTCTCTGTCGATGAGTGACGTTTGGAACAGCCCATCCTGGCCTGCAGAGCGCACCCGATGCCCTGCAGAGTAGCGTCCTAGAGGGAGTCCTTCATGGCTGCGAAGAAGCACAGCTGCAGAGCACTGAGGGAAGAGGGGCAGGACCCTGGAAAGAGGTAGGAGTTCTCTGCGCCCAATTCTTGTTTCTCTTTCTCGCCTGCGCTGCCTTTGGTGAGACAGAACAAGCTGAGCGACCTGGAGACCCTGGCGCTGCTGATCGCTGCTCTCAGCCACGACTTGGACCACCGCGGGGTGAACAACTCGTACATACAGCGGTGAGTCTGCCCCGGCCCAGCAGGACAAGTCTCTGAAATTATGGCCTGTCTGTTGTACCAGAAAAGCCACAGCCACGTTTGATGGCGCAGTCTCTCCATCGGTCGAGGCTCCGTGACATGCTTTGGTTTTATTTCAGGGAACTGGCAGCTGTTTTCTGGCCCAAATTCAAAAAATGTTTGTGTTCAGACTCTTACTTCATTAGATAACTACCAGGAGTTTGTCTTAGAGGGACTAGCCTATGAGCTTTCATTAGAAACCACTGAAGACTAGCTAGGAAGGGGTAGCTTTCCCCCTGGAATGAGAGAAATCATCTGAGCAGGGCTTAGCTCCATCCTGCCTGTTGCTTAGTGCCTGGAGGAGGCCTAGTCCTGCGCTGAGGCCACGTAAGCTGGTGCTCGCGAGCCTGACCGTGCAGGCTACTTGGGTTTGAGTCCTCCCTCTCCACACGGTCGCCATGTGACGAGCTCCTTCCGCCATCATGGTGTCGTGTGAGTCGTGAGAGAACACACGCCCGCCCGGTCCAGGGAGGACGCCTGGTGTGGGCTTCCGTGAAGGCAATCTCAGCTGCAGGCCTCACCCTCTCCTCATCAGGAGCCTGCTTTGTGCTGATGTCGAGAGGGAGGTCCTCTTCAGAACCATCTTTGGGGCTCCCGTAAGTGACCTTTGTAGTGACATATGAGATGGGAGATGGACATCCATCCCTTCTCGTCAGATTTCTGAGCCACTGTGACTTTTCGGGCATTTTTCTTGCAGCCATGTGACCCAAAAGGCTGTATTTTAATGGCAAAACCTCTTAGGCCTAGGCGTTGTTTTAAGCACAGAAGCGATTCAACAAATGCTAGCGCTCGTGAGGAAATCCCAGATGTCGGGTATCTGCGGGGAATTTCAGAACATGCTCTAATCACATTCGCTTTATCTAAATAAACAAAAAACCTCATGTAAAAAGAATGGTGGCGATGTAGCCCCCGTGTCCTCTGCTGCCCTTCGATGGGAAAAGATAGCCAGCTCTTGCAGAGTGGAGGGGACCGGCTGTTTCCTCCTTCAAATCTAACATTTTGGAGAACTGACTGGGTGACACGTCCTTTGTCCCCTGTGTTTTGTCATGTGATTGTGAGCCAGGCCACACATTGACTTGGGAACACTTAGGAAAGGGACTGAGGGCACGAAAAGATGGATAGCACAGAGCCAGCGGAGCGGGGCCTGCAAATGCATGCTGGTGCTGGGCAGTCTGGCCATGCAGGCTGACGTGGGTTCGAATCCCTGCCCACCCGAGACCCGGACATGACATTGTGGTCCCTGCATCGTTTGTGTGCAGATGGCTCAAGACGCCTAGTGCCCTGCTTTCGAGTGAAAAAAATACTCAGCTATTTTTTTCCTCCTTTGTTTATTTAAAAAATAATTACCCAGAAAAACATCTGGAGAAACGTCATCTTCTCTTCAAAAAAAAATGTCCTGGGAAAAAGTTATAGACTGCAGAATCGCGCTTTCACACACCACAAGGAGGACTTCTACAAGTAATAATAACCTAAAAAAAAAAATTACAGACGTTTAGAGATTTTTATTCCTTCCTACATCCCTGTGGTTTCAGTAGAGGAAACCAAGAATTTTCCGGGGATGTTTCTATTTTTCTTTCCTTAGTTGGAAAGGAGCGATACGTCAAGTAGGATTTTCTTAAACAGGAGACTCTTGGGAGGATACCCAGTTCCATAAACATTCCCATATAAAGGACTAATTTCTGGAAAGGTGTACAGTGTCCAGACCTCGTCAGATACTCAAACAGCAGATAAAACCAAAACAGTGAAGGAAGGCGCAGAACTAAGAATAATACATCAAAAAGAGAACAGCCCTCGGGGGTAACACAGCTAGGAATTGAAATTCGGTCATTCGCTCCTCTTAAACTTCTTTTCAGAAAATTAACTTGATGTAAGTGGCTCCTAGTGCAGGAAACTTTTTTGCAATTCATTATTGGTTTCTTTTATTCCTGGATTAGCAAGACGGCTGTTATGAGGGATAACCCAAGGATGCTATGAAATATTTGGGAGACGAGGTCACTCTTTGTGCTTTCTTTTCCCACAAGGTTGGACAAAGCGTGACCAGATAGTTGGTGAATTCTTTTTTTTTTTTTAATAATAAATTTTATTTTTATATTCCCCATACAATTGCAGCCCCCCCATTCTGACCCCAATCCCTCCCCTCCCACCCCCGCCCCCCTAAAAGTGTCTCTGGTTCGTAGTTTTTTGTTGATTTTGATTTTCACTTTCTTATAGTTATTCGTTTTCCTGGTCCCTTATTTAAGTTTTCTAGATTCCTGCTATGAGTGAGACCATCCGGTATTTTTCTTTTTCTTTCTGGCTTATTTCGCTGAGCATGATCCCTTCCAGCGCCATCCATGTTGCTGCAAATTGCATGTGTTTATCTTATTTGAATGCTGAGTAATATTCCATGGTATATATGTACCACATCTTCTTGGTCCAGTCATCTATTTTTGGGCATTTGGGTTGTTTCCAAAGCTTAGCTATTGTAAACAGTGCTGCTATAAACATAGGGGTGCAGGTGCTCTTTGGAATTGATGTTTCTGTGTCCTTTGGGTAAATACCTAGGAGTGGAATTGCTGGATCATATGGAAGCTCTATGTTTAGTAGGTCCAGAAATCTCCATACAGCTTTCCACAGTGGTTGGACCAGTTTGCACTCCCACCAACAGTGCAGAAGAGTTCCTTTTTCTCCACACCCTCGCCAACATTTGTTGTTGCTAGTTTTTTTAATATGTGCCATTCTCACTGGTGTAAGATGGTATCTCATGGTAGTTTTGATTTGCATTTCCCTGATGACAAGTGATGTTGAACATTTTTTCATATGTCTGTTGGCCATTTGCATTTCCTCTTCAGAGAAGTTTCTTTTTAGCTCTTCTGCCCATTTTTTAACTGGATTCTTTTCTTTGTTGTTGTTAAGTCTCATCAGCTCTTTGCAGATTTTTGTGATCAGTCCTTTATCATTAGTGTTGGGTGCAAAAATGTTCTCCCAGTTGGTGGGGTTTCTCTTTGTTTTTGTTATTGTCTCTTTTGAATTCTTGTTTTAAAAATAGGGCCGTAATAGGAACAAAATGGTTGAAGCAGAGACATCGCCTAGAGAAAGCGTAATGGTGACATGGAGGTTCCTTGTGGAAATTTCCCACATTAGGTGCACAGTGACTATAAGGGGACTGTCGTGGATGCTTTTTTTTTTTTTTTGGTTCGATTGAGGTTTGGTGTTTTCAAACACAATTACCGTGCAGTTACCCTACATTTTAGACAGATGGCACTTGGCAAGGCAAAAGGAGTGTTACAAGGTGTAAGATGTGTTTGCTCTTATCGAAGAATCTTCCTAGTCTCATGAAACAGGTGGTCACAGCTCAGGGAAGTGCCCAGTCAGTTCTGAGCTGCTCAACTACATGGGCTGTACATGCTCAGAAGTGATGGTCGCTTCTCTGACCGGAACCAGAGACTCTCAGGGACCAGGAATGAAAACTGAAAGGATGAACAAGCTATAACACCCTTTTGAGCCTGCTGTGAAACAACGTGGTGTGTTTAGATATGTTCTGGTGAAGACACAGCCACTGTGGGCAATGAAGATGTTGTTGAGGGGGGACATTCCAAAATGGAGGTTCAAGGTCAGTGGGGGAGACAAGAGAAGCCGGGTGACTGGTGAAACCACAGTGGCTGGAGATAATGTCCAGGGTCCAGGGTATTGGCACAGTAATGGAGCCTTTGAGGGAATCACAAGCCCGAATGGATGAGTGATGTGTGTGCTTCTGGAAGGCGGGAGGAGAATGGAAGAGCATTGGCAATGGGGTGATGATAAATAGGATAGCGCCAGAGGTAAAATGATAAAGTGAAAGATGTTTTCAAGATTGAGTAAAACCTAGATGAAAGCCCTTTCTGGCAGCCGCTGTCAGACCACATGGGTAGGTTCCGGGACAGTGGTCTGTGTAGGCCCTTCTGCTGTGTCAGGGGGAGCAGGCAGAGCAGCGGTGGAGGCCTGCGGGGCTCTGCGCGACTCACCAGGGTAGCAGAGACAGCCCAGGAGCCACAGCTGGTGAAGTTCAAACTGGGGCTGAGACTGTTAGCCAGAAAGGAGATGATCCGTGGCAGATCTGGAGGACTTGAGAGACCGGAGACCTGACAGTGGATTCAGTGGAAGTTCAGTTAGTCGGAATGCCAGTAGCTCACAGTTAACCCTGAATATGGCCCCCGTTGTGGGGTAGAGTTTCTGGACTCCTGGGCTGCTCTGCCCTGGCATCCGCCTGTCCCTCCAGAGAGGAACCAGCGATCGCAGGACAAGAGGAAGTGCGGGGGGTCGTGTGGATTCCTCTTCGTCACTCTCACAGGGGTGGGATGCTCCTGCTGCGGTGGTTTAAATGGCCACACACGCGGAGGCGAGGGGCCTGCGTTGGAAAGCGCAGAAAGCAGCAGGATACAAAATGCACTGGATTCCATGAATAGTTTGGTACACAGGAAATGTGGGGTATTTGTCACCCTTTCGTGGATGCGTAAATCTGTATTTTTAGAATGTCAGGAAAGGCAGACGCGCGTCGTCTGCATTCATCTCTCGCCCGAGCCAGGAATGGTCTCTAATGTGAACCAGTCCTTTCTGCGTCGTCTGAAGCCTGCCGTGCGTGTTGGGCGTCCGGGCGTGCGCACCCTCCGGGCTGTGCGGTGGCTCCTGACGAGGTTGGGGGGCGGGTCGTGAGCCCCTGCGCTTGGGGAGGACAAGGCGCGCTTGGGTGCTGGCCCGGCCCTGCCCTTCACACCGACCTTGGACACAAGCCATAATCTCCCTGAACCTTGGTCGCCTCCAGGCAGAAATGCCGCTCGGAGAGCGTCTCAGCCTGGGTCCCGCGGAGGCCGAGCCTGACCGCAGAGGTCCCTGGGCCTGTGCCCCCAGGAGCCGGGTCAGGCTGGAAGGAGCCGGGCAGGAGGGGGACGGCCACCGGCAGAGCTCAGGGCTCAGTGGCGCCTGTGTCTCGAGGAGTCTCAAGAAGGGAGACCTGCAGCAGCAACCCTCCGAGGAGGCGGCACGGAGCCCAGGTCATGCCCTGCACATCCTCAGCCTGTCCTCACAGGCGGGGCAGGCCGTGGGGCAGAACCGCAGGCAGAGGGGGTGTGCCCCGAGGGCCTGGCTCCTGGCGGTGGCTCATCCAGGCGTGAAACCAGAGACCGAGTCAGTGGCTGCAGTGAAGGGGACTGAGGGTTCTATGGGGTGACGGGAAGCGTCCCATACGGGACTGAAGTAGAAATTAAACACGACCTGCTGAGCACAGGTAGTGACTGATGAGCTTTAGGCCCCAGCAAATTCTCCTTGTGATCAGGGACATTGTTATGTGTGTCAAAGGCAACAGATGAAATACTCCAGAAGCTTTCCCTCCTGTAAGTGAAGGTGATGAGGAAAGCCCCTGTTGTTGGGTTAAGGCTCCTTCAGTCTACCGAGGGGCTAGTGTTGCCGCACTGGAGTCTGGGATACACAGCCAGATCCAGAAGGAGGTTCATTGATTGTCTCTCTCCTGGGCTGGCTGTCTTCTCTGTCTACCGTATGCCTGGATCATCTCATCCCTTCCCGTGGCCGGGACCACCACCTGCATGGCGCTGTGTTCCAAGTCTTTCTCCAACCTAGACCTGCGTTCAGCCTATTGCACCCACTTGGGTGTATCGAGGCACCTTAAAACTAACAGAGCCAGCACTCAGCTTGTCATCTGCCCGTCTCCTATCCGCTGTCCCCAGTCAGTCGCCTTTTATGTGCCAGGCCAGGAAATGTCACGGCAGGAAGTTGGCATTTGTGCTTACCCTTCACCTCACTCATGCCCGCTAGATCCCAGCGTCAGGATAGTCAGTTCCTATCAAATCGACCCCCTCAAGTGCTCGGATCATTTTGCTTCTTTGCATGTGAGCTGTGACTGCTCCACCCCCAGGCTGCCTCTGATCCGTTAGAATTTCCCCGGGAGTCTCCTAACCCACTAACCCCCCTGCAACCTGCATGCATGTGGTCTCGGGTCCAACAAAATGAAATCCTATGTCACTGATCTCCTTTTATTCCTTACCTTCCCATTGTCCACTGGTCAGCACGGTCCCTGAAGGCTCATTCCGTAGTAAACATGGGAGGAGCAAACAAGGAGTTCATTCGGGAGAGGTTACAAGACGGAGTGACAATTGGGAGCCCACAGTATTGCTGGGAAACAGCAGGAATAGATGTGCTCACCTGCCCCCTGCATTTTCCTTTTACTGCTTTTGGTTGCCCTTAAGCATCACTCACTTTGCAGTATTTCTTTGGACAATTTGGGGAGCACCTGTATCTTGAACAAACGACAGTGGAAGGCTGGCTCCTGCAGCACCATAGAGCACGAAACCAGCTGTATCACCTACCACTGCGCGGGGTGTGCAATTCCTGAACTTCTCTTCTGTAAACTTGGGGAACGGGGACTGTCAGGTACATGTTGTTTCTCTTGTAAAGAATGGTAGAAATTGTGTTTGCAGCTGTGGAGGTGGAGCGCTGCCTTGTTCCTGCTGCAGCACTTGACCCGTAACTGTCCTCTTGGCCCGGCCAAGCCAAAGCTCTGCTTCCCTTGTATCCTGGACACAAACCACCTGGATCCCACATGGGGAAGTTGCTCTGATGCAACGAAATCCTCCCTGGTCTTCCAACACTCACACCACCGAGGGCCGGCTAGCTGATGCTTCCCTTCTGTGGGGGCGCGTGACCCCAGGCTCAGCACGCCTCCAAGGGAGAGCTAGCCTGCAGATCTGTTCCCGGTTTTAAATTAAGTGGAATTCTGAAATGGAAAATCTTACTGGTACAACTGGTTTTGTTTTTCACATTTAGAGAAAATCCCTCGTTCCTTTTCCTCCTGCTATTTGCATCGCTGTCAACACCAAAGAAGTTGTTTTGACTTTGAACCAGCTGCAATTATGGGGGTATTTGAAAACAATTGACAGCCTCCTAATGCCTTACCCAGAGATGACTTCCTCTTGTCATCAAAAGGAAAGACATGTATGAGCTGGATTAGTCCTTGAAGGGCAGCCTCTTTATCAGTTAACTCATAAGCAGAAGAAATTGATCAGCTAACACATTGAGCGAAATGATTTTTTATTTTTTTCTTTGTTCAACAAAACCACTTTCAGAAGCGAACATCCGCTCGCCCAGCTCTACTGCCATTCCATCATGGAGCACCACCACTTTGACCAGTGCCTGATGATTCTCAACACCCCGGTAAGCACCTAATTTGTGGCTGTGGAATGTTAAAAGAGCTTTATAGATTCAGTTTTATTTTTAAGTTTTGGATCTATTCCCAGCATCATAAATTCTTGAGCACGCTTTATTCCTTTTTCGGTAAGGAAGGCAAAGCCAAACATTGGTGATCTTTACAGCCTCCCTCCTCTGGACAACCAAAACTGTCTCAGTGGTGTCTGATTAGGGAAATTTGGTTTCTATTTGGTTATTCCAAATTAGAGACAAAACCCCTGGTATTTTATGGCTCTCGGTGGATTCTAATCTTTTTTCTTTTTGGGGGGGGGTTTAAATGAAGTGGATTATGCAGTTCTCAAGTTTGCTTTCACAAGGCAATGGCACCATTTGTTTTTACTGAGACTTCTGACCACTTGCAAAATGCTTTGTTAAGGAATGAAGGAATGAAGCTATTTAACATCTCAGAAATGCATATTTATCAACATAAGCAAGCATGTGCTATACATATTTGTGTTAGAGAAAATAAGATGAAAATAATGAACTCCAAAACATCCACAGTGGTTGCCTTTCTAATCATTAACACTTTTCATCATTGGTATTTTGGTTTGTTCATATTGTATGCATGAATTACCTTTTTTTTTTTTTAAAGATGTATTTATGCATACAAGAGCTGGGGTACAGGCCAGAGGGGTGGGGGTGAAAGGAGTCATGAGAGACAGAGCAGGGAACAGAACAGGCAGCCTGACTGAAATACACTGCTGAGGGGAGCAGCGGGCGAGACAGGAGAGGTCTGCTGCGCCATGTGGGTAGCTCCCTGGCGGGGATGGAACTTGTGCTGCAGTGGCTGTAGATAGCTTCGTAGGTTGTGTCTTAACCCCTTGCGCCCCCAGGGAGGCCCCTGAATTACCTTTCTAATAAGAAAAAATTAAAAGTTTTAATACCGGGTTGAACAAAGAGAACACGCAGGGTAGACCCTTACAGCAGTTTTAGTCCCCAGCGTCGCGTTCTCCTAGTGCAAGCTCCTGCCCCATGTCCTAGAAGAAAACTCCTGTGTCTATGGATTTTCTGGTCCTTTTTCACAAGTAAAAGCCAACTAGTTACTGTAGTTCCCCAAATAAGTTACCGTCCTGAATTTGGAAACCCTGGTGTCCCGTCCTGGGTGACAGCTCAGATGTTGAACTGGCCTTGAAGGTGCCGGTTCCCCCGGCCTGCCCTGGGTGGCGCCTTTCTTCCCCGGCTGTGTTTCTTCTCTCCGCTTCCTCCGCCTCAGCCATGTGGCTCCTCCTGGCCCACGTGGAGAGAACTGGAAAGGAGAACAGAATAGGTGCGATGGGGTGAGCTGCCTCCACAGCAGCTCCCAGGGCGCCCCGGAGGTGTCGAGCGAGCAGAGTTCCGTCCCGTGCCCTGACCACAGCCCAGGGCCTCCTCGTGGGCTGCTCCCCGACAGTCCCTCTGCAGGAGGAGCAGCTCTGTGTGCTGCGGCTCCCTCCTCTGCTCCCGGAGAGCTGACCGTCCACCTCTGGTGCCTTTCCTTGAAGGTCCTTTTGCCCTCCCTGGGGTGGGGCAAAAGGACTGGGCAAAAGGACTGGTGGTGAACGGGACTGGGCTTCAGTGGACTCCACGCCTCCCAAACTCAGGATGCAGCCCACACCCTGCAGCAGCACCCGCTGGCTGTCACCTGTGGAGAAGGGGAGGCTGCCGCTCCTCTCCCTACACGCCCCGGGTTTGGGGGGGAGGGGCGAGTCACCCAGCCAGTTCCTCACACACCTGCCTTTGCTCTAGTGCGAGGTGACTGCTCAGTGCGCATCAGCTCAGGGGGGTCAGTAGGGAGCCCAGCATTTCCACTCGGTTGTCTGTGTGCGTCTTTCAAGTCTGCAGAGGCAGACGGTCACCTCCAGCTGTACCAGGAGAAGGTCATTTTGTGCTTGCCTGGGAAGGGGCCGGGCTCTGAGTGTGCTGCCCCACTAGTTTCCTGTAAACCATGTGCTTCTGTGTGGAGTTGTTCAGAACCAAGCCTTGCGAGCACCACACATGTGTAGGTCATGTTACCAGCAGCAAGTCAAGACTTGCCTCAGGATTGGCCAGGTCTGTGCTCCAGCTAAAACTTGTGTTTTATTTACTCTCCCAGGCAGTGTGTAATAAGCTGACTTGCTTAAAAGCACATTTAACAGTATCCTACTGGGCCTCTCTCTGTTAGGACGTAGGGAACGTATTACTATGCAAGGACTCGGGCTGTGTGTCAGGCCGCAGGGCCCGTCTGTGTCACGCGTCTCGTAAGCGCGGACGCGCACAGGAATGCGCCGCTCTGCCGTCATTAAAACAAAGTTAACAGCAAACGGACGTTTCCTTTTCCACTTGAAATGGTTGTTTCACAATAAGTAAAAGTATCACAAGGTATTTTCTGAACAGTTTTCTGTTCGGTCCAGAACCTGAAATGACTGACTGCCATGAGACCATGTTCATGGGTGAGCACTGGTTACCATCAACGTTGCAACCAAGGAGGCCTCGGTTAGATGCGGGCCACGTGCCGGTGTCCAGTCACCCTTTAGCCAGGTTCAGACTCGTCCTGCCATCCTCAGCAGTGGCCTGTCTTCGGACAAATCCTTTGTCTGCAGGTCCAATTCCCGAGCCTCTGGAGTTTTTCTTGGCCCTAAAATTTAGGAGGCACAGCTGGATCACACTCCAGATGTTGTGTTGCGTATCGTGCGAGTATCCATGTAGTTTCACTTAGTTTAAGCCTAGAGGGCCACTCCGTTTTAAGTTAGAAGCTGGAAATGAACAGTGATGACATAGGAGAACTTTGCATAATCTGCCCATGCATTTATGTCTGTATTAAATAATCTTCATAGATGCTTCAGCCCTTGCTTTTTTCCTACTGCCAGTAACTATGCCCCTGACTCCTGCCTGTTGCCCATGTATGTTAGCAAGTGCCTGAGGAATGCAGGGGCCTCAGCATTAAAAGTAAATAAGGGGGCACCCAAAATGTTAAATTGTAGAAGCCATTGAGAAATGGTTTTCTAATTAGTCGTTCGGAAGTGTCACCACCAGATTCTTCAAGGCCATTTATTTGACTTTGGTTTCTCCAAGTTTCCCTTACAAGAGTTCACCTGCCTGCAGGAAGGAGATATAATGATCTGGCTTCAGGCCTGAATGAAGGCCTGGAGAGTGTGAGAGCTGGGAAAACTGCATCCCCGGGCATGGGAGCCCTTCTGCAGCAGTTGCTCTTACAGGGAAGGTTACGTCGGGTGGCTGCTTGAGCGCATGTTCCCCACATCCACAGGTTCAGAATGCGAGGCGTGCATTTCAGATGTGACTATACTTTCAGGTTTTGTTCTTGCTGGCAGTTTCTCCAGGTGGAGTGCTAATGGTGGTTTTCTTTTTCCGATGAAGGGCAATCAGATCCTCAGTGGCCTCTCCATTGAAGAATACAAGACCACGCTGAAAATAATCAAACAAGCTATTTTAGCTACAGACCTAGCGCTGTACATCAAGTAAGTGTCCAGGAATACCCGGAGATACCCAGGTCTTGGGGGAGTGTTCGCCTGGGTTTAGACTGCAGATCCACACAGGGGCATTTTAGATTGTAAGGACATGCTGTTTATTTCAAACGCTGGAGCATTATCTTAAACAAAGCCAGAAAGGCTACTCTTTTGGCTTACTTACTGATAGAAACTCTAGAACAGTTATTTCTGATGTTATTAATCAACTTCTGTGTCTCTGAAGCTGTGTGCGCCCCAGACTTCCTCCCTGCTGACTTGTCCAGGCCCCTCGCTCTTGATCCTGTGTGTTAACCCAGGCAGGAAAAATTGCTGAGTGACAGACAAGACGCTTTTGCTCCTTATTACTTGATTTTGGTAGAAGAGTATTAAATACAGAACTCTGGAGTTGCTGATGGAGAAACTAGAGTGTGTTAGAGTACACTGAGGATGTGCATGCGCTGCATAATTCAGTTGTCTTTCTAAAAGTTAGGCTGGACCTTGCTGCCATCGGGCAGGCCGTGGTCCCCTCCCCACATGCAGACGGAGGTCTTGGCTACATGTGTGGGAGGGACAGGAACCAGGCCATCCCCCTCGTGGCTGCCCAGGACTTCTGTACAGGGATCCCTGCCCATGGTTTACATCCCTTCGTAGAGGAAGTGGAAACATACACAAAACCGCACAGCAGAGAGCCACTCTTGTACATTTAAAAGCAAATTTTATTGCCTTTGTTGGATCTTGGAGCACTTCACAGATAATAAGAGTGTGAGGAAACAGGGTGAACTTTAGGTTAAGCAAAACATTTGGAGAAGAGGGATGGTTGACATTCTCAGAATTTGAAAATATCTGCCACTGCAAAGCCTTCCCAATCCTTCCAGGACACAAGGGTCTCTCCTCTGAGCTCTTAGGAAACTCGCTTTTCCTTTCTAGAGCTCAGTCACATGTGGTCAGTTCTGTCATAAACCAGTTTTTCACACGATGCTCTTGTGTCGGGCTAGATTTTATTTTTTTTAAAGATTTATTTATACATACATGCACTGGGTACAGTCAGAAGCGCGGGAGGGTGAGAGAATTCACCAGAGCCAGAGCAGGGAGCAGAGCAGGCAGAAGGACCGAAGTACACTGCTGAGGGGAGCAGCGGGCGGCAGGAGAGGTCTGCGCGCCATGTGGGACCCTCCTCTGGTGGCCGGGGAGCATCCGGGGATCGAACCAGCACTGCAGAGGCTGCGGGCAGCTTCGCAACCCAGCGCTCAACCGCTGCGCTTCCGGGGAGGCCCTCTGGCTAGATTTTAAATACTGAAAAGAGCAGCTCCCAACTTCTGTCTTCTGACTTGCACAGGTGTTTGCAAAGAAGGTGTTCACGGCACACTGAGTGAATTAGTGCACTTGGTCTTTCGCTGCTTCAGAAGCACCTCACAACCTTATTCTGACAGAGTAATTATTATAAACATGTTTTATCCTATACAAACAAGGCCTGTTAAGTTGAAAGTGAAACCAGGTAGATCTTGTGCCATCATTTAAAATTTTGAAGTCACTCATGACATCAAAATGTTATTCCAGCTTCATTTTCTAAAACATAATCAGGTTATAAAAATCAGCTACCATTGTTTATAGACTATAGTTAAAAGTAGGTGAGGTTTAATGTTTTATCCCAAGAAAATGGTAGAAGGCCAGAAAGTGAGGTACTAAAGATTTTCAAGTGGTGATTTTGCTGTTGGGCTCGCTGAAGTTGGGGGTGGGGGGGGAAACACATTAGATGTTTCTCCCCCCAAATTTGCTCCATGCGTCTTAGTAGCCCAGAGAGACGCAAGCCTGCAGACTACTGACTCATAACCACTCAACTTTTTTTTTCTTCAAGGAGGCGAGGAGAATTTTTTGAACTTATAAGAAAAAATCAATTCAATTTGGAAGATCCCCATCAAAAGGAGTTATTTTTGTAAGTAGGCATTACTGTGCTGCAAGTGTAAGTGTTGCTGCCCGATTGAGTCTGTGTCTGTCCGACTTTATGGCCATAGCTTGTTAACAAGATGACAGTCTTGGGGGTCTCAGACTTCTCCAGTGGTCAAAGGGCTGATGGGGATACTGACCGAAAAGACAGCGCAAATTCAGGTGAATAAATCCCTCCTTGGTCCTAGAAGGGCCGTTAAAATGCAGTAGAATATTAGAGCCAGGCTGGAGGGCCGCTTACTGCCCTTTCCAGTTCTTACAGCAGAAGAGCTGTGAGCCCCGCCTAGCGATGGTGGGGCCAAGATGTTGGCTGTGCAGAGTGTCCTCGTGAATGAGGGCAGAGTATGTGGAGATTCCTACCTCCCTCACCTGTACCTTGGGCCTTCTCTTCTCTGTACCATGCCTTTGTCATGACAAGACTGGGTCAGTGAGACAGAGCACAGGCAACAGGTTTTCTCAGGAGAAAGAAATATCTTATTTCCAAGTCTGGTGTGTGCTCAGTTGTCCTCACAGCTGAGGTGTGTGAACTGGGGACCAGGTCATGACCCACACACCTGGTTGTTGTTACCCCCGGCTCTGGTAGGTACCCTATCTTTCAGAGAACACGCTTTGGTTGGATTTCCCTGGAGAGACACCTGATGTAGTACTTTACCTTGAGTGTTTCTCTGTTACCTTAGTGGCCTTTTTGCCTATCTCTTCAAATAAATTAAAAAGATTAAATGGCCAATACTTGGATCTGACAGGAGAAAACCCAGAGGTAAAGGTGGATTCATTTTCCTGGGGCAGTTTGGGTACTTACAGATTCTGGAGCACTCGTCACTGTCCCCGGAGCCCTGCATGGTCCTCACTTCTCTAAGGGGCTGGGGAAGAAAGCACGCGGTCCTCTTTCCCTTGTCACCTCTGGCTATGCTATTTCATACTGCAAAGGCTTTTCACATGAAAGACACTACATGTGATGAGCAAATTGGGACACCTAGCATAATTCTCTCTTGGGAAGTTATTCAGTATCTGGTGCCATCTTTTAACTATTAGTATTCAACATATACTGTCACTGAGAACTGATAATCAAGGTGGCAAAGTAATAGGCAAATTTTTGCCAAGAGGTTAATAATTTCTCCCATTGAGCCAGGGTAGCATGACATGAGGAAGCCTGAAGTGCAGTTCTAGTATCTCAGTGGCTGATAAACACAGTGGCCCACTGGGATCACTGGACCAGCTGTGCTGTATATAAACTTGGTCTTTATAAGCTGCCATCCCCACGTGGTCTCATTGGAATGACTTACCCTGGATGTGTGTCTGTGTGAGAGTTAAAGGGACTATGGCCTTGTTTCCCCCAACAGAGCGATGCTGATGACAGCTTGTGACCTTTCTGCGATCACAAAACCCTGGCCTATTCAACAACGGGTATGTTGCTTAGTGATGATGAAAGTGATCGTTAAAAGGTTAAACTAAGTCACTTTGACAGGTAACTTCTGAAATATTTGTGGTTTTTTTTTTTGTTTTTTTTTTTTGGTGGGACCCTCACCAGCGGCCGGGGAATGAACTGGTGCTTCAGAGGCTGTGGGCAGCCTTGCAGCCCAGCGCTCAACCACTGCGCCACATGGGGAGGCCCTATTTTTGGACGTTTTAATCTGATTTTCAAACAGTGCCACAATGACATAATTGGGCACAAATAGGTTTCCTTTGTGAGCTACTAGCACTTGATCAGATAAATTGGAAACCCATCCTAAGTTGACTATAGCTGAAGTGGAGGACCACATGCCTCCACAAAACGCTGGCCACACAGTGCACCATGGAGCACTGGCTTGGAGACTCCAGAATACACCACTGGAAAGGAGCAAGGTTCCTTCCAGGATGGAATTCTGAGACAGGAAAGGTACAAAAATTAGCCCAGAAATCTTGTTTGTTTGTGCAGAGAGCAAGAAACTAGGAAAGGCCAAAGGTGTGGTCAGAAGAACAGAGAAAGCCAAATTAATAAGGACTCGGAGGCCAAAATGGAACCACTGAGCTTCAGTAAACGCAGTGAAGTACGTTCAATGTTTCCATCCAAGAGTTCAAAGTAATTATGAAAATACTCAATCTTTGGGTGGCCATCTTTCCTAGATGCTTAAGAATCAGGCTGATTTTTGAAACAGCAATTAGAGAAAGCATTTACTTACATGAATTGTGCTTCTGCATAACTGAATAATGGACATGGGGAACTTTATTTCAACTATGAGGGAAATAGGACTGCTTACTTGATAACCATTTTTGCAGCCGCTCTGCCTTCCCCCCCCCCCCTCCCCAATTAACGATGCTAAGCAGAGAGGCAACTGGGCATGACACGGCTGGTGACGGGGTAAAGAAAACCTAATCTAACCGGGCAGCTAGTGCGCATGCCCAGTGCGTGGAAGGTTAGGGCAGATGCCAACAGGGACGCAGCCAGCAAACCCGGTGTGAACTGCAGGGTAAACACCCAGTTTCCTCGACAGCAGCAAAGACTAAGGACAGTCTTTAAGCAGGGAGAAGAGGATGCTGTAGAGCGAAAGGATCTTGAAAGGTGGGGGTGGGTCTCCACATGCAGCTGCGCCCACAAGGCTTCCAGCTTAGGGGATCAGCAAGTCCAGCCTTTGTGAGTGGACGCGTATTTCAAGCGAAAGAAGTGTCGTTTCTTACCCCCTTTCCTACTTTAACCTACTAATGTGGTCAAAAGCGACAGCCGTCATAGACCGTCGTACCCTCAGGCCTCTGGGGTGACGTGCTTCATTGCCGAGGCTCCGTCTGTGGTCTGTTGCAGATAGCAGAACTTGTAGCGAGTGAATTTTTTGACCAAGGAGACAAAGAGAGAAAAGAACTCAACATCGAGCCTGCGGTAAGTGTGCGCTTTTCCAGTTAGAACTACTTGAATCCCTTTTATATTGTAGGGCTTCAGTGTAAAAAAAAAAAAGTGCTTCATCATGTCATACCCACATTTTTTGTTCATTCTTTTTTCATTGAGGTGTAGCCATTTTTCACGTTTGCAGATCCTCTTGCACACCTGACTTGTAGCGAGTCCCTGACGTAGCCGTGGCCGCAGCTCACCCAGCTCTTGGTGTCTGCGCTGCCGTCCTCAGCCCGCACAGAGCTTCCACAGGGCTTTCATCCCTCCTGCCTTTTCACATGTGTCTGAAAGACAAGAAAATGATTATTCCCACACTGTCTTTTGGAATGAGTGTTTGTGGCAATGAGCACAGTTGTTTTGTCTTTCCAATTCTAACGGGCCTCTGCGGAGCTGTGGTGAAAAGGGAGCTGGTCAGGAGAGGCCCCTCCGCTCAGCCACGTTGATTCTGGGTTAGGTCGGGGCTCGTGCAGCAGCTCAGAGCTGGTGGGAAGCAGAGTGACGGACACGGCTAAGGGTGAAGCGGCTTCATTTCCAACAAGCATTGCCAGTGGGCTGCTGGGTACTCAGGCGCGAGTGCTTTGGAATAAGCTCCCTGTGTGGAACAAATGTGACCCGGGGGCTTTTTCCCAAAGCTGGGGCCACATCAGTGGACAATTCATAAAAAGCCCCTGTGTTCTTCAGAGGCACCCCCACTCTCCAGGGCACAGACCCGAGCTCGCTATGTGGGCGGGGAGCGCGCAGGGGCCTCGCCCGGCCGACCAGGCACGCGTCTTTTTAGCACCGCTTTGCCCAGGGTTCTCTAAGTGCATGCGGGTCTCTCTCTGCGTTTTGTTTTCAGGACCTCATGAACAGGGAGAAGAAAAACAAAATCCCCAGTATGCAAGTTGGGTTCATAGATGCCATCTGCTTGCAACTATATGAGGTATTTATGAAAATTACTACATTTATTAAAACTGTTGTGAATGTAAAGCAAAAGGGAATGGAGGAGATGAACACCCGGCATATGTTGCTCTGTCAGGAAACGAAAACAGCAGGATTGTTTCTTCTGCTGATGAACATGTTATTTGCTGTTTCTCAAAAACTTCAGGTCACCCATGTCACTGCTTAGGGAAAGCTGTCTGCCAGGTTCCAGAAAGCTCTGTGTTGTCAGTGTGGCTTTAATGTTTTTAAGAAAGTTTTGAAAATAAAGAAAGGTTGCTGATTGCAGGTGCCCATTTCTGTACACCTGCTGGCTGTTCTTCCTGAAACATCCACTTAGTAGCGTAGATGTTAACAGAGGCTGCTGTCTTTAAAATGCCTTAACTTTTATTCGGGAAAGAATGCTGACCAGGCGTTAACATGGCCTGGTCAGACCAGTAGAAACCCTCAAACTCTTCTCACCTGGACATTCCACAGAAAGTTCATCTTCTGGGGAGGCGGTGTACCGGCCGCAGTCCAGTAGGGAGGGGCCCGTGGTCTGGGGCTCCCCTGTGCCAGGGTTGTCGCCTTCCCGACCCCGAGTGACGGGCATGGGTGCTGAGGAGAATGGGCTGAGCTGCGGCGGCCTCGTCTCTCCCCCCTCGGGCTCACTCCTCTGCAGAAGCGTGTTCTGGGCACTGAGTCACACGCTGCCAGTGCTCTTCCCGTAGATGTCCCCACCCCTGGAAACAGGATAACAGATCACCTGTTAAACACTCTCTCTACATTCCATATTTGTGCAAGGATCTATTTTGTGTGAATTCGATGTTAACTTTCCCTGTTGTTAACAGAGAGTGTGCCGGTATATAGCTTCCGACATTTTAAGTTCCAGAGGTTACTCTCTGCAATTCATTAAGTGAGCTACATCTTTTTTTAATAGTGCAAAGTAGTAACACACTCTATATCGAATCCTGTTGTGGGGTATTTAAATAATTTTCAACATTTCTATATTACAAAGCAGCTACAAATAGCGTTGTTGGAGCTAAGTAGTTATGGTACTATAGTTGGAAATACCACACGTAATTATAAAACACTCTGAAGGGCATTGTATAAAGCCATTTTAGAGAAAACCACAAAGCTAAGCAGTTGCCAGTGGAGGGAGAGCATCTGTGCAGACAGGCCAAATGTGCCGTTTCCAGCAAAGCAGATTCCAGAGAGCCGCGTGCACAACTCCATCTTAACTTGGATGTGACGCTGTTCGGCCGGTGCGCATTTGCCCTGTCAGTATGCACACCTTGTCCGTTCAGCCTACGGGGGCCCATTCCCACGTGAGCTGGGTATGTGCTCACAGTTTCTGGAAACCCCATGTGAGGGCTGGAGCCCTCTGGACCAGCGTGGGGAAAGAGCTAACAACTAGGAGGCAGCCAGGAAATAAGCTGCCTTTTTCTTTTTCAGGCCTTGACCCAGGTATCACAGGACTGCTTCCCTTTGTTGGACGGCTGCAGAAAGAACAGGCAAAAATGGCAGGCTCTCGCCGAACAGCAGGAGAAGACCCTGGTGAATGGGGAAAGCAGCCAGGCCAAGCGGACCTGAGGGCCTGGACCGCGCAGCAGGCCTCATCTTGCTCGCCACGACACACATTGGGCGTCTACATACCACTGCTGCATCTCCCATTTGCACAGGTTTTGAGAGCATAGCACGGAGTGTTCACAGGGGACTATTTTTCTATTTCTTTGATGCCACTAACCTGCCATGATGAGCGAGCCCCACCCTGAGCACCCAGACGAGCGCGTCTCTCATGCACTGCAGGGTGCTATTTGCTTGGGGTTTTTAAATGGTTGGTTTTGTGTTTTCTGCTTTACTAATCTTCCAAGAATGTTGGGAATCTTTTTTCAAAAATAGGCTAGCAGCAAATAGAGTCTCTTCTGTGACACCTAAACCTTTCAAAGGATACAGAGAAATGCTGACTGAATTTTAAGGGGACCAGGGCATACTTGTCAGCGATGTATTAACAACCAAAAGTCTGAAGCAAGTGGAAAGTACTGGGGGGCAGTAGTGCAAAGAAAAGGGATTATGTAATCAAGTTGCTGTTTTTGCTGGACAACTTTCTCAGTTCAGTGCAACCCCTCTCTTCAAAGGTAGCCCATAAAATCACTTGAGTCTAACCTACCTGATAGGCGGCAGGGGCTCCTTAGGAGAAGGTCCCATCCCTGCTTGGTGGAGGGATGAGTGGGATCCAGAAGTGAGTGACCTTGGGTGTCTGTAAGTGAAGAGAAACAGTCTGATTTAGTGAATTGCCTTTTTAAAATAATTTCCTCCTTATTTTTCATCTACTTACAAGTCAGCAGCTTAAATGTCAACAGGAAAAAAGCTGTAATTGGAGCAAGTGCCTGAAGGGAGCGATGACTGCAGATAAGGAAAGTCTTAGTTTTCTTAATAATATTGGATTAAAAATTCAATCAGGCTCAAAGGTAAGACATGTTAGGCCTGAATAAAACTTAGCAGTGTTGGTTTGTGACTGAGAAACTGTCCTATTTTGGTTCCTAGGACTAGTCCACCCAGAATCATGGATGTGACTGAGAGGTTGGTATTTATTTCTCTCAGTCTGTAGTGAATTCAGAAACCATTACCCTCTCCTTGGGGTGGGCATGGGTTCCCACCACGTGCCCTCTAGCTCCGTCAGTACTGGACACAGATAAGGACTGGAGTGACAGGTTCAGGAAAACCTACTCCAAACAGGCAGAGAGCTTTGGCCTTGGGGAGAGGGGGGGTGGAATGTCAGCCTTACACAACTTTCCCATCACTGAACGTTTTTTTTCCCATTCCTAACTGGTTTTTCTCCTAAACTTTCCATCTTGAAACAACACATCTGAATTCTTACTGTTCAGGTCAGGTGAAACAAAGAAAAGGCAAAACGTATTATATTGCCACTACTGGCTAGTCTAGAAAATGGGACATGTATTTGTTCTAACACTTGAATTTTCAGGATGTTGTTCCATTTTGATGTCATACAGATGACATCTGTAAGGCTGCCTCTTGGTGGCACTGGTGTATAAACTACAGACTATCACTGAAATTATCTAAATACTGGTACACATCTCTGCATGCATTAATATAGCAAAATCCCATAACATAGAAAAACTGTTTAAAGAATAGCCGTCTTTATAACCTGGGTTTTTTGTTTGGATACATTGTGATTTTAAGCAGATAAAGCTGTAATCACATACTTTAGCAGTGTGTTGAGCCTCATATATAATATGTCACTGAGATTTTAAAGGACACAGATGATGTGTGGAGGATTTGTATGCGTGACTTTATTAAGATGTATCTAGATTAGAATTGTCTGGTTTATTTTTAATGGCTTATTAGAGTAGACATTAAAAAGTTAGGCAACGGTATGCCTATCTAATGGCTAGATATTTTCATTTAGTAATCATTCCATACATGGATTAATATCTGGTATATGGGCACAAATCTAAGTGTTTGTTCTTAGGAATATTTTCTTTCTGGTATGTTCTCGTGTAGAAAAAAATACATAAATAGTCCTCCTCACCCTACTCTATATGTACTTACTACCCATAACTAGCAAGAAGTTCTCTGATTCCGGTAATTTGTTGTAGTTACAGCTGAGTTAACCTGATACCATTTTAAGCCAGGAGAATCCCCACCTGTGAATCTGCAGGAGCTGCGCTGTCAGGAGTCACTTTTGGGCTAAAGGCGCCCCGGAGACCACTGTCAGGCGTGGGCTGCAGCTGCTGCGCTTAGTCCCCTAGGCCTCACCTAGGCTGAATGTGGTGGGTGTCCTGCCTAAAAAAGCAAACACACTTGCTTAAGCACAGATGCAGATGGCTAGTGAGCTTCAGGGCTCTCGACCGTCATGTTCCTTAGTTATCAAGAACAGTTTCCTTCCATGGATGCACTGGCGATAAGAAAATTATTAACATATACTGGAAATATTGGATTCTGGGAGGAAACTGGTCCCAGGTATACTAGCAGCAAAGTAAGTGCCTTTCTTAGATAAAACACAGCTTTTCGACCTGCTCCGATTTGATTTTCACCAGACTGTACTCCTCAGACTTTACAGGCCATCAAGCAATGCTGTGGCGTTTCTGACAAGGTGGATTTGAGAGGGGGGAGTGTAAGTGGTGTCCTCTTCTGTGGACACCTGGGGTTGACGGGGGTGCATAGAAGGCTGCCACCTCATTTTATGTGCTCCCTCTGCTCCACACGCCTCAGCAGGAAGTGCTGGGTAAGATTCCAGCTTCTTAAAATAGGGCGCTAAACTACTGGCATTGTTTTCATCTCTAATGTACGTGCTACACGGTTTTCTAAGGACCTTCTTTGCCTGGATTACTGAAAACTGAGCAGTAAACACCCTGTCTTCTTACCACTCTTAATCACTTAAGATGCATAAAAGTCTACTCTGAAGGTTCCTTGTCCATATGCTAAGCAGGTAGGGATGGCTCAGCAGACTATGGTGCACAGTATTGGACCCTTCTGCTCCACAGCAGGGGCTGAGAAAGATTCAAACTCTCCTTCCACATACCGCCCCAAAGCCTGTGTAACTGTGTCTTCATGAATGTTGTTGAAAACAGTGTAAATAGTTGAAAATATATATAAATTTCTATTCCAGTTTAAGAATGAAGCATCACTAGCCACTGTTCATAGCTATTTGTATTCTTCTACCTTTTCAATATATTTGAACAAATATATAGTTTCTGGCACTATTTTTGTACTAGGATAAAGGAGTTATTACTATGTATATTATGTTAAGCTTTATAAATATCTGTGAATGTTGACTTTTGGCCTGGCCTTTCCTTGACCATGAGCACCACGGCAGATGTTGAAATCACTTTAGAAGACTCCTACCCACCTGCGAGCCCGGTGAAGCCAACAGGCAGGCAGTTTTCCCTTGTGCAAAGTCTTCCTTGCAGTTGTGTCCTCATGTTGCCATGCTCTGTGAAAATAAAAAGAATGAACTGTAGGTATACAGGTGTTATGTGGTTACTAGAGGACTCTGAATTGCAGTGTTACGAGCTAGAGAAAAACACTGGTTTTTAGCAAGCCTTTTTCCTCCCGCTCGGACAAACAAAAATGACAGCAAACATGCAATGGGAGGGTAAAAAAGACTACTGCTCCACAGAGGGAAAGAACTGGGGGTGGAGATGACAGGCGAGGGGTGAAGGTCTTGCAGAACCCTGGAAGGAGGAAAACATTCACCGATGATTAACCTTTTTGTAGAAACGTCTCATTTCCAAACACTCCTCTAGGAAAGAAACTGGATTAATAAAATCCTTCCTGTAGCCTAAGTTTCCCTGAATTACTGTCACCACCCTATGCTCCGGATCCAAGGGTCCTGCGCGTCTTCCTTCAAGGCCCTATCAGTTCCTTGGAGAATGACAGCTCCGACTTGGACTTCATTGCATGGAAAAGCTTAGACCTGGAGTCAAATACCCACCTAAAAGCAGGTATTTATTCCATTTCTCTTGATTTTCCATTCAGAAAGGTCCCAAACACACCTAGTGGAGCAGGAGCGCCTGGGCTACCTAGCTAGATTAGAGATGAGACGCCCTTCACCCAGCAGGTTTAGTTTTGTTAACATTCATTCTTTCAGAAATCAGCTGGTAAAAGTTCACCTCACTCCTTCACAGAACCCTGGACACCACTGCGTTTCCATGCTACTTGTCTAGAGGTCAGTGAACTCAGAAATCTGTATCAGTTTTGTGAGGCAGAGCATTGCAGCTGTGCCTGCTTCACAAATCTAGAGCCAGAAATAGAAACGCCTGTGAAACAGGATTCTACAGTTTCTGAGCACTAGATGGCGCCAGAGTTTCAGGTGTGTTTTAAAAAGGACTCCATTACCACAAAGACGGCGTTTACAAAGACTTCTCCTGGGCCTCCCCGGTGGCGCAGCGGTTGAGCATTGAGCGCTGGGGTTGCGAAGCTGCCAGCGGCCTCTGCGACGCCGGTTCGATCCCCGGCTCCTCCCCGTCCACCGGAGGAGGGTCCCTCTCTGCGGAGGAGCGCCGGGTTCAATCCCCGGTTGCTCCTTCTCCTGCGGAAGAGGGTCCCACAGGTCTCACAGACCTTTCCTGAGGAGGAGGGTCCCACAGGGCGTGCAGACCTCTCCTGCCGCCCGCTGCTCCCCTCAGCAGTGTACTTCGTCAGTCTGCCTGCTCTGCTCCCCGCTCTGGCTCATGCTGAATTCTCTCACCCTCCCGCGCTTCTGACTGTCGATATTCTCCTGTACAAAAGAGCATTTCACAACCCTCGGGAGACCACATTCTTGCTATCAGCTGTGTGGACTTCTCTGTCAGAAGGTAATTTTCTATTCAGGCACATAAATATTACCACAAACACTTGCAGATAACATTCTGATTTTTAAGCCTTGGCAGGAAAAGAAACTATCTCCAGGTGACACCCCACTTGTTCAAAATTGAAATCTCTAAGTGTTAAGAATGAAATCAAAATAATGTGCATCAAATGAAACCTGACTGACAAATGATGTCTCTGGCATTCCCCATTTTAAACTTGGGGGGGGGGGGCGTGCCTGCAGATGTGTGTTCACAGGGCACCAGGAACGAAGCTGACTCAGTAACCTCCCCGCAGTGCCAAAGGCACATTAGAATTCCTCTTCCTAACCTGGAAGACAAGACTGCCCACTAGAGAGGTGTAAAGCAATGACTATGGGCAGTTATAATTGCTGTCAATTTAATACACCTCAGAGACTTAACATTAAGCTTCGAGCAAGCTTCAGATTCCCCCCCCCCCGCGCCCCCAACCCCAATCCTGCTGTTTCCTCCTACCCAACAGGAGCAACTGCATGGCTTTATCTGACTATACCAGTCCAGCATACACTTCCAAGACAACAGTTTCCTTGTTATACCAACCCGTTCTCCCAAAGTCTAGGACTCTCTGGTCTTGCTGACCTGCCGAGACCAAGGAGGAAAGGTGTATGTACAACATGATCAGCAAATATTTCAGCTACAACAGCTTTTTCTCCAGAAAATTCAACAGAGGTAGCTCCTAAAGGTGCCCTACTGAGTCTGTCAGAAGCAGGAGTGAACTCCTTTGGAGGTGTCATTCTGTTTCTGGAAACTTTCTATTCTGGCTCCACCCCTTAGCTTCAAACACAGTGACTATTAGCTCCTCTCCGCCCCACCGCCATCACATGCACTCCTGAGCCGTCGGCGCCTCTACAGTCTTCCTGTACTCTGAGGGGAGTCCACAAACACTAAACGAAGAAGAGACCGCGACCCTCCCTCCCTTTTGGACCCAATACTGAATTTTTATAAAGAAGGGAATTTCGGTGGAGGGCAATAGAAAAATAGTGCATTTTGAGAAATTCTTATTGGGATAAAAGTTAAAATTCAAACTGAAAAAGAAAATTGTGTGGAAAAATAAGTCCATGACCAGGGTTCGTTATTGAGTTGCTATTAAGTCAGCAGAGTTACTCCCAGTGGGGGATTACCATATCGCTAGAAGCCAGGGAAAAGTCCTTCATCAAGGACAAACAGGTCTTGTGGAGAAGACAAGATTTACACTGACAAATAAATAGGTAAAATGAAGTCAACAGACAGGCCCTCAGCACACAGTGGAGTCAGTCCAGGGTGAACCTCACACGAGGCCACGCGGTCATCTAAGCACGCGGGTGGGGGAACTGAAGCTACTGAAGCTACTAATTGAAACGTGAGGTTCATAGACAGTTTCCTCAAGGGGATGACACTTGGCTTAGCCAAGTATATTCCAGGCAGGAGAAACAACAGGTGTGGCGCCCTCAAAGTAGCAAACTTGAGAACCTTGCCGTAGTTATTTAAATACTTACAAATTAAAAGAATGAAGAGGATTAAAATAAAGCTGGTGTCCAATGTATGTCAAAGGTGGTAAGAACATCAAGGCAGTCTCTGGAGTCCAAAATATTGGTAATTAAAACCCCAAGCAATGTGAGCTAATGCCAGGTCAGACCTGGGAATATTTGTAGAACTCTGTCACGAGGGGTTTTAATGCCCACCCAAGCAGGAAAGAGACATGTTACTGGGCCCCCGTGAGGCATTTAGGGAAGGGCCCTCTGCTGACAGTTAGGAGCTTTGAAGAGACACGTCCTCAGTGGACATGTCCACTGAGGGGCAGGAGAGGAGATGAAATCAGTGGAAGGACAGGAAGGCATTCCTGTGCTCATCTGGGCTCTAGTTAAAAAACATAACATTGGGGTCACCATACAAATTTGGGTTTAAGTATGATCTGGAAATATCCAATTTTCAGTTTGGAACACAAAAAGAAGTCTTAAGCCTGTGATATCTGGAAATCAAGAGAGACAATGCTTTTTGCAGAACACATCCTCAAATAAACTGTCACATTTCCACAAAAATAATGCCACTGAAGAAACAAATTCCTGACAACGAGGGCATTCGCCATGCACAAAGTGAAGTCATGGACTGTGGGGTCAGATCCCGAGAAACCCAAGCCATAGAACTCTCCGATAGCGGCGACTGGGAGGAATCACTTGATTCCCCAGCTCCAGTGTTTCCAAATGTAGGAGCAGCCTGACGCGATACTCGGTCTCTCGTTCCACCTCCAGCTGCACCCTCGGCCGCCTGACTGGGTGGTGACAGCCTTAAATGGGTGAAGCTCATCTAGGAGAGAGCAGCAGATGCAGAGGGATTCGTTTCTTCTGCTAACCTTTCTGCTCCGACCCTTTGAGAGTGTGTGGGAATGTGGACTGTGCCAAGGCAATGCCTGCTCCAGGGGCGGGAAGGAGGCAGGGAGTGCTGGTAAACCACCTGCCACAGCGTGCTTGCCATCTGAACGGGGCCCCCATTGCCCCAGCCCCTCGCAAAGCGCCACACCAGCCCGCATCACGGACTGTGGGGCTGCAGTGCCCACCCCCAGGCAGAGCTCGCTAAGCACCGCTCTGCAGGACCAGCGGGCCTGCCCCTCAGCGCGCTCTCCTGCCTCTCATCCGTGGGTAAATCTGCTTTCCTGGGTCTGTTCACCGGACAAACTCGCAAACTCGTTTTTGTGAGCTTTTTTCTGCCGGAGGTTGTACGGAAGGAAGGTAGGAGTGAGGTCAACCTCAGAAGACAGCACATTCTCGGAACGCAACGGCAATGGTCTGAAAAGTTCAATAAAAACATGGCTGGAAAATAAGTTTCATGTCACAAAATCCCGAAAGATAAATTTAACACGACCAGCAGTTACCGTCCGCGTTCATCTACTTAGTGTCCAAACTTGTATTTGTGATGGTCAGTGAAGCAACGGACACCCTGGATGCAATGGAGTCACTGGATGCAAATATCCACAGGCAGGCGGTGGGAGAGGCAGCACCACCAACACGGATGTAACCAGCTAAGAAAGGGACATTTAGGGCCTCTGGAGGCCAGAGAGCCACGTTGTTTTCATTCACAGATTCTCAAGAGCCGCAGCACTGGGAGTCTAACTATTCTCAACAGGAGAATTAGGGAGGAAGATCACATTTGATGATAAAAACACACACAGGAGGCTCCAGAACCTGGACACCAACAGGGTACCTGACTCACATGTGCTCACCCGCAGTGCACACATGTCACTGCCTGTTTTATAGCCTCTCTTCCCAATTTTCCCTTATAAATCATTGCATTGTTTCCTATCCCTGCTGCAACAATCATCACAAATTTACTGGTTTCAAACAATACAGAACCATTAACAGTTGAAAAGATCAGGTGCCTAAAGTAGGTCAACAAAGCTCTATTCTGCCCAGAGGCTATTTCCTTGCCTGTCAGAGCTTTCAGAGGCTGGCCGCATTGCCTAGGACCTCACGGCCTAGCCCTCCACCTGCAAAGCCAGCTATGTACCGTCTTCAGAGCACATTTCCGCTCCTACGTACTCTCACGCACACCCCTCTGCTTCTGTCCCCACAGTTCCATCGCTAACACTTCCGTCTGCCTCTTACACATACAGAATGGGCCCATCCAGACTAAGCAGGAGCATCTTCCCATTTCAAATGCTGGGCTTAAACACAGCTGCAAAGCCCTGCAACCACGTAAGATGACATTCACAGTCACTGTCACATGAACTCATTTATTTTACAATACACTTTCTTGTGTGTAAGTTTAATACACTGCTTTTTGGAGTCACCTTTCTGGGTTCATGGCAACATGGCACAGAAAAGCTGAGTTCCCACATACCCTTCCCCCG